GCTGAATAGCTTGCAGGTGACATCTGGGGCGGTATACTATGGGGATCTTGTGTCAACTAGGGTGAATTTCCGTGCGTTTAGGCGATTCTGCCATACATATTATAGAAATCAAACATAGCTCACGTAGGACCTGTAATATTTGTGGCCGTGGTGCTCCCCTGTTTAAAAGGGTGTATGCCCATTTTACTTCATTTTGTCTCCCGCTTTTTTGTCTTCCCGATTAACTTCGTTGCGGGTTCCAAGACAGTTTAATTTCTTCCTTTTTTTTTTTTTTTCCGTGCGGAAATCCCCTCGGATACCACCTGTCGGTGGCATGTCGGACTCGAACCGACTAAAACCGCACGCCTTCGCCGGGTACTAATTGCCGGGGAACCAGAGTTTAATTTCTTCCTGGGACTTCCCGAGTGTCATAACTCGGCGTGTTGGTGGGTCACTGCTGTGGATCCTGGTGTACAGGAGTTACAGTGGTGGGCGTGTGGGTGGGATTAGTCCCAATAGTGATGATAGGAAGAGAGAGTTACGCACACATTTTCTTTCTCTCTTAGTCAAGAAGTTTTACTTCAGTCGTGTGGTCTAAAGCACACTCGTTTTTTTATATTCTTTTATTACCGAACTATGGAAACAAATCTCGGCAAACAATTTTAATTTAAGTCTGTTTTTCGTATTGTGATACTTTGTATGTATGTATAGTTCAGACAATAATATTCTACCTGGGTTGCTTGGAACTGATCAGGATCGTATCGTAATAAAAATCGTTTAAAATTCAGTTTCGATTTTTGTGAGACAAATGTCATAAAATTTGAAAACATTCAAAGTTGACTGTAATGTGAATATCTTATTGTAACCGAAAGTTGAACCACATTTGTGAATTTTTTTTAACGACATTTGTGAAATCGAGAGATCGGAACTGAATTTTGAACGAATTTCTATTACAAGAATTTACCTTTAGATCTGATGAAGGAGCCACGAGCTGGAGAGTTAAACTCTTCAGTTGCTACTAGTAAACTCGAACTCAGCTCATATGATTCACCTTAACGAGTCCACCAGTTTGGGCTCAATAACAATAACTTGAAACATCTCAGAAATGTGCTCATCACACAATAATTTGTCCTTGGTGTGAATCGAACCCACGACCTCTAACTTAGCACTCGCTAACTCACTAGCCATTAGATCAAAAGGCCAGTTACAATGACCTGCTGATGATCAAAACAAGAGGACTTCAGAGGAACTCTACAATTTGCGTATTTGGTCTACTATTTAGTTTAAGAAAACTATAATTTATTGTGTAGGCAAAATTTAGTTCGTTTTCGTTTGTTAGGTAAATTATGATAATCTGAGTATAAAACTAAAATTAACTCTGTAAGGTCCTTGAAGGAAACTTAAATTCTGAAATAAATGGTAACTACGTATTTTGTCTAAAATGATGATGGGTTTTAGAATACCCTCACAATATTAGTCACTTCAGTGCATTTAAGTAAAAAAATACCTAAGTAAGTAACTCCTCACATCAACAGCCTTTAATAGTTCATTGCTGAACATAGGCCTCTCCTCAGAAAGGAGGTTTTGGCCTACTACACGCTGGCCAGACGGGTTGGTATAGGGTTTGTTTCAAGTTTTCCTTTGCAGTGTTGTCTAGAGCGTAGTTTTAGCGCGTAGCACAGGATGAATAGGGGTGGTGACATTGCGTATTCTTAATCCGTCACCACACGCATAAGTAAGTAATAATGAGTTTTAATATTAAATGAAACACAAAAAAAAATTATTTCCTTTATTCACAGCCTAAAATAAATGAATATTCGTATTATATTTTGTGTAAAAGTAATAAATAATAAAATTATATTTAATTTATTAATATTGTTATTATCTGTTTAATTATTAAGCTCCATTATACTTTGATTTATATAAAGTTAGGGATTTATATATTTTGGTAAGTATGAACATAACACATTGAAAAAATGTGCTGGAACGATTCCGATTTTAATCACTAGTTTAAGTACCTTTACAGATTCATCCATTTTTTAGTAGATATACAATCTTATATATAAAATTCTCGTGTCACAATGTTCGTTCCCGTACTCCTCCAAAACGGCTTGACCGATGCTCATGAAATTTTGTGTGCACATCGGGTAGGTCTGAGAATCGGCCAACATCTATTTTTCATACCCCTAAATGGTAAGGGTGACCCATCCTTAATTTTTTTTTTGTTTTGCAATACAACGTTTGCCGGGTCAACTAGTTTAATATAATAGTCTTTCTACAGAACTTCCATATCGCCAAGTTGTGGGTTGTGGAGGTGTGATGGCAGTCGCTCTGCGTAAAAAATCGAAGTTCAGCCGTATCTTGGGACATGGCTCGGAAGAAGAAGAATGCAAAATGGACACTGCACGGATGGCGTAGTGGTTTAAGCGGTCGCCACGCCGATTCCTACTACGCCGATTGTTGTGGGTTCAAACCCCACATGGGACGACACTTTGTGTGATCCGCAAATTGTTGTTCTGAGTCTGGGTGTTCGTTGTGTCCGTTTCATGTATGTTTGTAAAGTCCCCCGCGACACAAGATATATTACTATTGCGGGCGTTGTCTTTTTAAAAAAACAAACAAACAAACAAACAAAAATTTCTGATTTGAATTCTTGACACATTCTAACATGATACTCTAGATTTTTATACTTTTTATGATCCGACCGGTTTCGGCAAATGCGACCGCATTCCGCATTATGACGACTCTATTCCGAAAAGTAATAATAGGTATGTTAAGTATTTAGGTTTTGCATTTAAAAAACCAAGAAGATACATTTTTAGTAAGATTTTTTTAAAATCGCAAACGGAAGAAACTTTAAAATAATGTAGGTAGAACGTAAAAAGAAAAAAACTTTTTGCAACAGTAACTAACACTCATAAAAATGACTGCATCAAGGTACGAGTAGACGTGTCACCTGATGGTAAGTGAATACCGCCGCCCAAGGACAGCAGCAACTATAGAGTCACAAGTGCGTTTCTGCCGCCCCCCCCCCCCCCTCTTTTCCAGAATCAGGGTTTCAGGAATCCAATCAATAGTTTACATTACTCAGCTTACTGCCAGTGAAAATTTCGTGAAAATCGGGCCCAGGCGGTTATTAACAGAAACTAAGAGACAAACAGACATACAAAAATGTAGTATTTTTTTTGTGGTTTTGGCATAACAAAACGGCGTGAGGGGTCTATAGACCCCCAGTCCGAACGAAGTTATTTTCTATTTTTGGTAGACGTTTGCTATAGTGTCGGAAAAAAGTCTTGTTACACATTTTTCTGCTTAACAAAGCGCGATAAGGAACTTCGTCCCGAAAAGACACTTCAATTTTATTTTTTTGTATACATAAACAAAATGTAGGTATTGAAACAGGTGAGATATTATTTTATAAGTTGTTTATAATGCAGTGAATAGTACTAACTACAATAAAAAAAGAATGCCTTGTCTAAACTATTTAATACCTCATATTTCTTATACTAAATTACATAAAACAGCCAATAAGAACTATAGAATTCACACTGCGCATGCGCAACAAATGGGTCACACTAAACATAGCAGCAAATTCGAAGTTTAAATTATTTAATATTGTGTAATGTGTGCTTAATAAAATTAAGTTACTAAATATTACAGTTAATGTCTCTTACGAATAGTTATTACTATACTAATATCAGTCGAACTATAAACCACACTATAATTAGCTAAATGCAGCATTTCATGGCGTCATTCAGAGGGATTTAAGTTAATAAATATATTATTAAAATGTTAAACAGAAATAGGAATATTTTATGTTTAGAGATTTTTATTTGTTTACCTTCTCTTGGTTTAACTAATAAATATTATTATATTTTAATTGTATTTACACACAGGTTAGAGAGCTCGGATTCAACAACAGAACAGAGGCCATAGTGTGAATTATTTTACATATACTTGATCGTAACGGTAATCACGTACGGCATTTTGATTGGTCCGCACTAAAATTTCCCCAACCGCCACGCGGAACGCGCTTGCCATCGAGGGAGAGTTGATGTTAAATAAACTCACACTAGGCCCTCTGAACGGACGCAACAGCCAATTTGTCTGACTTACTACAGCTATTGTTTACGTTCCAACCATTCGTCTAAACAAAGGATTCCCAAAGTAGTCGATCGATCCCTTGGGGTCGAAATGGGTTTCCCAGGGTCGACATAAACGAAAACTGATTTGGGGTCGACGAGGTCTAAAAATCGACCCCTGTTAATGAACACAAGTTCTTATTGGAAACTTTCAAGATACTCTGAATGACTTATATTTTGGTAGGCAGTATCATTGCTGTACTTTTAAAATTAGCGTGCACTAATTCAGCTATGGGTGTCTAAGGTCAGGTCAGTTCATTTTAGAAAAAGGGTCTCTTAGCCAAAATAGTTTGGAAATCCCTGGTCTAAACACTATCTCTTTTCTACCATTGCTTTCCCTTCTTATCTACCTTTTCTTCCATTATGGAGTAATTTTCATATAATTTGCAATGTCTGGTTAATAGCAATAGTTATTTCCACTATTGCGTAAGTGGAACTAAAATCATAGTTGGTAAAATGCTGGAGTTTATAAACCCCTAACTACCCTTTTGGGGATTTAAGCGTGAGTATATGTATGTACGTATGTATACATATAGTTGATTGCTAGAAATAAACTTGTTACAAAAGAGTGTAATCACATTTAGGGTCGTTTGGTAGAATCCATGTATTTATTACCTACGTAAAATACTATTTTAGTAGAATATTTATTTTTCGGAATTTATCAACTTGATCATTATAAGCTAATATTTTATAAGAACGGCTGTTATGAATTGTGTTTTGAATTGTGTAACTACCCTCATTTTTTTTAAATTATTTTGGATCTATACATAACGGTTATTTAGGACTTTGTTCTTAAGACGTGTATAATACGTAGTATATACAACAATTTCTTACATTATTTAAATCGAATAGTGAAGTTCCCTTCATATCGATTATTACTTACCTTCTAGTCTTTTTTATTTTATAATGATACCAGTCCCCTGAACTAGTTCTTGTTTTAGGCACAAAATACCTCCTTTGGAATTGCTCCGGTTCAAAAAAGAGATAGGATCCTCTCGACGTGTGGACGGTATGAATTCTTCTTGCCATCTCTTGTTGTGGCGCCACAAACCCTTTCGGTGGTAACACAACCGCAGGAATAGGACCTTCAACGCCACTTGGCACTTCTAGATCTTTCTCTGTGTCTATGACATGGAAATCAGCTAAATTAGGATTGTCTATAGGTTTATTATCTATGGGCTGTGTTATTTTTTGTGCTAAAACCGCTTTTACTGTAGTAGCTTCTACAACGTTCTCGAAAGATCCTCTGTTACTTTCTCTATTATTTATAGTTGGATTAATATTTTTGTCTGTGTTTTGTATGTGTTTATTTAATTCAACTTTAAATGGTGCATCCATTCTGGTAGTAGATAAATGAAATTGTGTTCTTTCAACATTGTTTAACGTAAATTTATCGAAATTTCTATTGTGTTGCATTTCGTGTTCATGTGCGTTACGATTCAAATTATCAAGCGTTACGTTAATAGTTGTATTTTTACCTACAAACGCATGAATGTTTCCACTTTGTTGGGTTCCATCTTCAACTATGTTACGAGTAACATTGTCTAGCGTTACGTTCACAGTTGCATTCTTAACTACAGGTGTATCATTGTTTTTCTTGCGTTGCGTTTCGAGTTCAGTTGCGTTATAATTAACATTACCTGGCGTTACGTTCACAGTTTCCTTTTTAATTACTAACAAATCAGAGTTTCCGTTATGGTGTGAACTGTGTATATCTGCGTTACTATCAACATTGTCTATCGTTTCATTTTTAACTACAAACAAATCAGAGTTTTCATAGCGTTGCGATTCATCTGCGTTACGATTAAAATTATCTAGCGTTACGTTACCAGTTGTATTTTGAACTAAATCTTTCGTTCCTATATTTGCAGTAGAAGTCTCTGTATTTTCAATATATTTTTCTATTTCCTCACTATCTTCTTCTCTTTGAGTTAAGTTGTCATATAGAGGGTCTTCGAGGGGAATGCCTTCAGGTATGTCTTCATATGTGAAGTCATTCGTTATGAGGATCTCATCACCTTCAAGTGCTTTGGCTTTGCTAAAGAGATTGTCCGATGACGTGTATTGGGGAAGGTCGTGGGAGATGCGCGGTGGGCAATCTTCTGGTATTGTGTACAGCTGGGGATCGAAAAATATTTTGTTTTGAAGTTGTAATATATTATAATTAAGGAATGGTAAACAGGCTTTAGAATAATAATGAAAAAAACAATATTTTGTCTTTGAAACCATTATTTGTTGTCCTAAAATATATTTAAGTACACAAATAAATTATTAAAAGGCTGGTATATCTGACGGGTTGTTTTAAATATTATTTAATTTATGTATTAATAATATTAACAGAGAAAGAAGTATGAGGACTATTACTTAGTTTCTGTTTTTTGTTTTAATTCTGATAGGTTTACTGAGTCTATTTGTAACTTCTGCAATTACTTTTGATTAATTTAATTGGATTTCCAAGACAGTCTAACTTATTTTGGGATTCTTCGAGTGTCATAACTCGGTGTTCGTGGAACATCGCTGTTGATTCTAGTGTAATGGAGTTACAGTATTGGGCGTGGGAGATGGATTAGTTCTATTAAAAAAGGCATACAATGGTTTTGATATAATTGAATTATCTGTGAACATTGAAAAATCAACTTTTATCATCACCATCACCCCTTAACAGTCTACTGCTGGACATAGGCCTCTCCTGAGAAAAGAGATCTTGGCCTACTATACCACGTTGGCCTGACGGGTCGGTATAGGGTTTATTTCAAGTTTTCCTTCTCTCTGCAGTGCTGTTGTCCTGCGTAGTTTTCACCCCCTTAGTCGGCTTTTACGACACCCACGGGATGAATAGGGGTGGTGACAATTTGTATTCTTAATCCGTCACCATACAGCTAAGCGACTTTATATAGAGCGAAGTAAGTAACCTGTGTATCGTTGTGTTCCGGCGCGTAGTAGTCCTGTACCCTGACGTAGGCGTGTCGCGTGTGCGCGCGCGGCCCCACGGCGTGCAGGCGGCAGCACTGGTGGCCGCCCGCGCACGTCGGCTCGTTGCCGTCGCGCGTGCCCAGGTACAGCGTGGCGCGGCTGCTCGTGGGCGACAACTCTATGCGACGAAGGACTACAAACAAAACTCTATGTCAGGTATGATCTTTTCCCATAGCTCATGGCCTCGAAACCGGTTACCCAATGGCCTATTTTTATTCTTGACACGGTGTATGCATAATTTCATAAACTATTAGGTAACACTGGTGGACTCTTTAACAAAGAAGTTTAAAAATTTGCTCTGACACTGATAGGACGCATCAGCTTTAGAAATTGGTGAAGAGCCAGTAGTTAGTGGAACATTCCGAGATAGTAAAGTAAATATAGCTGAAATCCTGAGTAAATAATATATCTTTTAAGTCCAGCGGTCGTAAATAGAAAACTGCTCCTTATATGCTGTCATTAAGAAAGTAGAAAGGGGGATGATAAACCTACAGGAGGGTCGTAAATAGACGACTGCTCCTTATATGCTGTCATTAAAATAGAAGGGGTAGAGGAGAGAGGGCTTATAAACCTACAGGAGCTATAAATATTTTCAAGTGCTGGTAACCACTTATCATCAAGCGGTATCACTGACATAAAAACGTGTTTTATTTTTGCTTAAGGTTTCTCAGTGTTAGAAGACTATAAATTTGCCAATGTTGTAATGGACAAATAACTTACGACTGCTAGGGTTATAAAGCTGCGAGTACAGCAGTTGTGCGTCAGCTCCGTAGCCACCCGGCAGGGACACCTCCAGCAGCGCCATCTCCGGGAACTTGCCGCTCCACATCACACACACCTGACAACCAGCAAACGTTTTTAGGATGACTATGTCTACATTGCATTTGATACTTACTTTCGATACTTTCTCAACTTCTCAGAACCCTGGAGTTACATTATACCAGTTTCTAAATCCTGCAAATGCTTACATACATCAGTATGCCTTAGTCACATAAATACATATACGGAACCGCCAGGGAAACTTATAACCTCTTTCCCCTCTAATCGAACATATGAAAAAGGTGGCTCGAGGGACCAAAATATTGGCTATTACCAATATTTTGGTCCCTCGAGCCACCTTTTTCATATACCTAAAACTATATATTTCTACTACTAAACCCCTCAAGCTTAGGCTCATTTGATTTGTTTTGACGTCTCTAACAAATTAACGATGGTCTGACGATGAAACCAGCAGTTGAATAATGAAAATCTATGTTTTTTTAAAATTTTCTTCACTTCATTTCACTATTTATGGAATTAACTTAATATAGAAGAGATACAGACCTCAATGACCGCAGCACAGAAGCAGGCCGTATTGTTGGTGTCGCAGTCGAACGGTCCGTCGGTGTGAACTGCCACTTGCACTGACAGTAGCTTCTGAGGCTCCTTCTCCGGGGTGGAGACCGTGTGATATGAGCGCGTAGCTTGGACCAAGGCACATCCCTTGCCTATAGCGTAACGTATTTATTAGATAAGAAGTCCCTCCTTTTTATATGCAAGATTTTGCACATAATGATGATGATGATTATGCAGCTAATCTGATAATGGAGTCAGACGGTTCACAGTGAAAGTCTTCATCAGCTACTAGTTGATGCGTCGTAAATATGGGTTTGGTAATAATGGTCTGATGATGATGTCTTGACTTCATCACCATACAAGTGGATAGTGGGAATGTTTTATCATTTTTCCGGGTCGTCATTGAAGCTTTTTTTTTGTTTTACTAAAGTTTAATTACTAACTAAATTTTTTGATGTTTTCAATATTGTTTTCTTTAGGAAAAGATGGGAATACACCCTCTAATTTATTTATTTATTGGTAAGTCATAAGTCACTGGGTTTTACTGAAGTAATTACCTTGAACGTTGACATTGAGTCGATCTCCAGGCATAAGGCTTATCACCTCAGGTATCCTGGCTCCTGGGAGCAGGGTAAGTGTCTGTGCCCGATCATCGGATCGAACTGTCACGTTCAAATGGGTAGACGGATTACCAGACGACCACGCTGTTAGAGCTTCTAGAGCTACTAAAGTGTCCTGTGAAAGCGTACATTTATTGGTATTTAAGGGTATATGCAAAATCCTCCCTCCTTTCTTCCACTGGGTAGGCAAATATAACTGTTATTGCCAATTATTGCCACCACTCGTAAGATTCTAGTTCCCGCTAAATTGACTCATTGACTCAGAAGTCAGGATCCCTTACCACTATATCAACTAGCCTGTCGATTTTTAATACAATAACTTGGGAATTTAGCATTTGGCATCTGATGGTAAGAGTATTGTCATTTGCAATTTGGTAACTCAATCTTTATAGGTTATTGCAATTTTTTTTTTTTAAAAGACAACGCCCGCATTAGGAATAAATCCAGTGTCGCGGGGAACTTTACAAACATACATGAAACGGACACAAAGAACACCCAGACTCAGAACAACAATTTGTGGATCACACAAAGTGTCGTCCCATGTGGGGTTTGAACCCACAACACTCGGCGAAGTAGGAAGCGGCGTGGCGACCGCTTAAACTACTACGCCATCCGTGCAGTCAAATATTGGAATACACGTGACTGTTTAAGATTTTTAGAGAGCTTTTGACACGTCAACCATACCCAATGTTGAACAAACTCGGAAGTAGATATTTGCACAGATAATTTTTAAAATTGATTGTAATCGTGTTACTCAAATATACCTAAAGAATAGTTTTATTAAAAATATGTGGTCATATAGAATACTATGTTGATGGTGGTATGCCCCAGGGATTCATCTCGGACCACTATTATTCTGAGGTTTGATTATGCATTTTTTTAATAAAATTAACCACTCGTTGACATCGGTTGATGTCATGATGTTTGTGAGTTAAAATATGGTATTGTTTGTAATATTAGGTCTTTACCTATGAAATTGCCGTTTTGTATGCAATAAGTGAAAGTACTTATTTTTTCAAACTTTTTAATTTCTGTTATTCGAAGTAATCCCGCATGCAATCGACGCATCTTTGCCAACGCATTGGCAGTTTATTGATGCCCTTCTTGTAAAAATCAGCTGGACGGGAGGCAACAAACTCTTCAAAGGCATTTTGTACTGCCTCTCGGGAATTGAATTTGTTACCCACTAAAAAGTTGTCTAAATTTTGGAAAAAGTAATAGTCGGTAGGTGCAAGGTCTGGTGAGTATGGCGAATGAGGGAGAGCTTCCAACCCCAGCTCTTGCAGCTTGGAGACTGTCTGTTGCGCAGTATGGGGTCGCGCGTTGTCGTGAAGGAGCAGTGGGGACGACCGATTGACCAAAGCTGGTTGCAGATGTGACCACCAGACCTCTCACCTACCGACTATTACTTTTTCCAAAATTTAGACAACTTTTTAGTGGGTAAAAAATTCAATTCATGAGAGGCAGTACAAAATGCCTTTGAAGAGTTTGTTGCCTCCCGTCCAGCTGATTTTTACAAGAAGGGCATCAGTAAACTGCCAATGCGTTGGCAAAGATGCGTCGATTGCATGGGCGATTACTTCGAATAACAGAAATAAAAAAGTTTGAAAAAATAAGTACTTTCACTTATTGCATACAAAACGGCAATTTCATAGGTAAAGACCAATAGGTCTATATAATAATAATATATAATAATAATAATATAGTTAAGATAAATAACCAATGACTGTTCTACGTATATGTATAATTATTATACACCTAAAGAATAAATGTGCGGGTAGTTAAAATTAAAAATTGCTTAATATTATTACGAAGTCGTAAGTAGTGAGTTCTGGGTTGGCCTGGCATGTTGCTTTGACTGCTAAACCTAAGGTCGTGGGTTCGATGCTCATCCAGGGTAAAACAATTGTGTGATAAACACGATCATTTGTTGTTTGTCTCTGTGTATATCGGCTATAATACTATAGAAACATATAAGTATGTTTATTAGCCGTCTGGGTACCATAGCACAGGCTCTGCCTAGTTTAGGATAGGACTGCCGTGTGTAGAATGTGTAAAGTTATTAGTATAAAAGATCATCAGACATCAACACTTTTAACGGTGCACTACTGGACATAGGCTTCTCCTTAAAAAGGAGGTTTTGGCCTACTATAGCACGTCGGCCAAACGGATCGGTAGAGGGTTTGTGTCAAGCTTTCCTTCTTTTTGAAATGCTTTCTGTGTTTTTTTTATAGAAGATGAAATATTTGAAATCCAGTAGAAAAACAGTGAAGTTATAGTGACCTGCGTGGCCACGAACCCGCCGCCGGCGGAGCGGTGCGCGGCGAGCCAGCCCAGCGCGGCGCGCGCCTCGGGCCCCCCCCGCCCCGGCCCCCGCCCCCGCCCCCGCAGCGCCAGCACCGCGTACGACGTCGCCTCGATGGACGTGGACAGGCTGTCTGCGGAGTCACACCTCACAGTTAATAGTCGTACAGACCCGATCTTGCATATAGCCAACGAGAGAGATGGATAATAGACACTTCCCTCCATCGCTTTGTAGTCGAACTTCGTGATAGCCAATCGCAGCTTAGCTAAACAGAGACAGAAGGAACTATCGGGCGTCCATCTCTCTCGTTAACTGTATCGCTTCTTCTTAAAGGCAGCCGTACCCCGTGTTCTCTCTATGCTTATATTTCTATGTTACTAGTACTCTAGCCACACCGGTCTCTTGCTTAACTACAGTGAGTTTGCGTCGGTAGAGTAATGTATGGGACTCAAATTCGCTGCCATAAGTTCGGTGTTATTATGTTTTCTTACTTTGATTAAATTAAAATTACTATGAGAAATACAAAACTTGTTCGAATGTCATTTATTCTTAAATGCTTTGATATACTATATTAATTACCTTTGTTAAAAAAAATAGAATGTTTAATTAAATTTTTGAAAAACAAACTTTAGTAGTGACTTAATACAGTTTTGTTTTGCCAAAACCTAACTCGTTCAGGACTAGAAGACTTGTTAGAACATGGTTGTTATGTAGTAATAGACAGTTCAATAATATCACGAACATTCAAGAAAAAAAGGGACCTCTCTTTTCGAGTTTAAGTTCCATAAGTAACAAAACATTTTACTCACTAGCTTCCCACCAGACGTAACCATCACTTCTCTTGGCCACTTTCAGCAGTTCCAAAACATGTCTGTCTCCATCATTTTCCTCCAAATTACTTCTCATCAAATTCACATTATTGGTCTTCCTTAAATCCTCTTCATATTTCTCTATTTTCGTAAAAGCGTAGGCCAATAACGCCTGGGCATAGACTCTGGTAGGAGATTGAGATTTTAATGGTGGGAGGGCGCGGAGACAAGAGAGGGTGTTGCGGATGACGCGGTAGGAGACAGGGGTCGTGTTGTCGATCAAAGCGGTGATGACGTAAGCTGTGAGCGCCACGCTTGCGATTTCACCCTCCTCGTTTAGTCCTCCCTGTGGAAGTTAAAAATATAATTATATTTATATATTTTATTTATATAATTTTAATTTAGTGGTAACGAGATTTGTTTCTCACCCTAAGTTCTCTATGAAAAACTTGTCCTTCGTTTCTGAAGCAACCGTTCTCCATCTGCTGACTGAGCAGCCACCTCTCTGCGCGGATAAGGGCTGGAGGGGTTTGCACGTTGGGCCATAGCAACTGCAGGTAATAATGTACTTAATGAATAATACAGAAGAATTTCTTAATAATACAAATATTAGAAATTATTCAGACCTGGTGTGCTTTTCTTAAATGTTTGACAGCAAAAGCGGTGAGCCATGTGGATGACGTCACGTCGGACGGGCCGAAAGCGCTGAAACCGCCCGAAGGGTGCACGTACTGAAGCTGGCGAGTGAACCCTATAACATTTGTATACCTTTTTTATAGTATCCTAGAAGATTTAATTTACCTTTAAAATACAACTATAATCGTATGGTAAATTACGTATAATAAATAACGACCGGACGGCGTAGTAGTTTGTGTAACGGACTGCTATTCCAAAGGTCGCGGGTTCGATTCCCGCTCAAGTCACACATTTGTGTGCATGAACATTTAATGTTTGATTTGGTCTGGGCGTTTCTATGTATAATATGTATGTATTTACAAAAAAAAAGTATATATGTATTTATATCAGTTGTCTAGTACCCATAGTACAAGCTCTGCTTAGTTTGGGACTAGATGGCGTTGTGTGAATGTGGTAAAATATGATTATTTAATATAATCCTATTCGCGGTTGACTTTACAAACATACATGAAACGGACACAAAGAACACCCAGACTCAAAACAACAATTTGTGGATCACACTAAGTGTCGTCCCATGATATAGGATCGAACCCACAGCACTTAGCGCAGTAGAATGCAGTGTGGCGACCGCTTAAACCATTACGCCATTCTTGTAGTTACATGATCTTAAGCTAGAGCGCCTCCTCCTTCCCCCCCAGAAATAGTAAAAGGGCTCCGGTAACCTTACCCACTCGGTGAAACGCAACGCTTTCAGTAAGAATAAATCACGTGGTATAGTAGGCCAAAACCTCCTTTCCAAGGAGAGGCCTATGTCCAACAGTGGACTATTAAAGACTGTTGAAGAAGAAATCACTCTTTTTGAGGAAACCTAAATTTGTTGTCAAAAAACCCCTTTTTAAAAACAGCAAAAAATGGAACCCTTATGGATTCGTCATGTCTGTATGTTTGTCCGTCCGAATGTCACAGCCACTTTTTTATACCGAAACTATAAGAACTATACTGTTGAAACTTGGTAAGTAGATGTATTCTGTGAACGAGATCTCATCATCATCATCATCATCAACAGAATATAACAGTCCACTGCTGGACATAGGCCTCTCCTTAGAAAGGAGGTTTTGGCCTACTATACCACGCTGGCCAGACGGGTTGGTATAGGGTTTGTTTCAAGTTTTCCTTCTCTTAGCAGTGCTGTTGTCCTGCGTAGTTTGCTCCCTTAGTCGGCTCTTACGACACCCACGGGATGAATCGGGGTGGTGACATTCCGTATTCTTAATCCGTCACCACACGGAGTACGAGAGACGGAGAACGAGATCTAGTAAGTAGTTTTTTTTTTTAATATGTCATAAATCGTAAACCGCATTTTATCTTTCATAAACCTCGATCAAAGTTACAACGAACTACAAGAACTTTTATACTATGTTACTTGCTGCTAAGTAACCCACTCGCACTTGGCCGTTTTTTTATATAAAAGACGTAATTAAAAAACCCATAAGGTCCCTTTGCATCCGATCATAATTTTCAAGTTTCTACGTACCTCTGGCAACATGTTCCCTCGCGATGAGAGCGGCTATCGAAGTGGGCTCCAGCTGCTTCAGCGCTAGCAGGTTGGTGGCCAGCTGGGCCATGTTCTGTTCGCCACAGCCGCGAGGGATCGTCACTAGAGAGTCCGCGTCCTGATAACAATATTATACAAATATATGACAAGGAATTTTGACTCCATTCTTTTTCATTATTTAGGTATTGAAGAAGCATAAAATCATTAATGAATAAAACTCACTCACACCCAACACCCCGCGCGCTCATAGCTCAAATCAAATGACGGCTTCCCCGGTTTTCTGTTACACATTTCCGTCCCTTTTCACGTAATCACTCTCAAAGATTGCAGGAAATCGAGAGGAAAGATATTATACATTAAAATAAACACAATAATAATTATATGATACATTGACGTAAAACTAATTATTTCCCGGGACTTTGAAAATAACGAATTTCCATACAAGCATTCATTCCTTTTTTTTTTGGGTTTGCGGCGGGGTGGTGTGTCGGTCTCGGACCGACTCGGTGTGCCTGTCTGCGCCTGTAACAGGAGGGATCCGGGAACAGCTGTTGTTAAGACATCCGGACCCCTCCTAGCGCCGGCCCGCAACGGCGCGGGCACCACCTTTGGGTACATTCTCTATTTAGGAGACGTCCGGCACACGTGGACGTCGCCTCCTCGCGGCTGGCCGTTATGGTGGATGGAGGGGAAAACCCGCCCATCCACCCAGTTCTTTCTTAACAGGTATTTACAACCTAAAGAGCCCCAGCGGTTTAGGCTCTGCATTTATGAATCAGTCAGTCAGTCAGTGCAAGTAATTGTAGATGTATGACTTATATAAATAATAGTGGAGTTATACTTACAGCTATTAAAGGCCCAGTCATGTCGCCTGCGGCCCACAGGGTGAGGGTCTCGGTGCCCGGTACGGCCTCCACTCGAGGCCACGCCCACTCTATTTGTGACGTTTGTGACGCACTATGGGAGTTGTACCCTCTTTGATCTTCGCTCTCTGTATAAGTTTAAAAAAAATATTATTTATTTGCTGGTGTCATGTGATTAGAAAGCCCATTTGGCCAAGGACATCTACTGTGCCTGATCAGTGAATACTTAGACTTTTAAAACTTACCATCTCCACATAATAGTATCGATTTTTGCTCGTGCACTGGTACCCCTTCTGGGTCTATGAGCATCTTGATTATCACCTCGTCACTGCAGTTAAAAAAGTTTTCAGAGGGATTCAGACAAATTCAGAGATAACAGATTGTTCTAGAAGTTATTTACCTAACTGAAACCGTGGTGGTAACATTGGGGCAGTTTCCATCGTTGGCAGTCTTGGCCCTGAGGCTAAGGCGGGCTGGGCTCGCGACCCGGGCCGTGATGGTCACCCTCCTAGCGATCGAAGACCTGGCTGCGATGCACGCTGTCTCCACTGAGTCTGTTGCTGCTTCGATATGAGGGTCGGTGAGGACTTGGATTTGGACCTGCGGAAGAAAGGGTATTGGTATGTATTTCATAACTACGATGAGCGATATACGTAAACAGGTAAAATACAAAAAAATTGACGGGTGTGAAAGATGGAAATTACTTTGTAGAAATAATTAGTATAAAAAGATAGCTTATAATTAATATAGCACAATTAAAAATATAATTTTCAATTTTTTTAAAGAAAAGAACGTGGCGACGCATGCCGTGGCGACGCGTCACCACGACGACAGTCTGTCTAACCCTCAGCATTAAATGTTTCACATCAAAAAGAATTGGTACCTATCTATCGTGAAAAACCATTAGACTAGAGTTTCTGGATAAAGAAAGGATTACTAAAGCTAACTTAGTCTCGTTCACGTAAACAATTTTCGACTAAACGTGTGTTTTTTACTGTTCTATCAATCCGTTACTCAATCTTGTTATAATGGTGCGCAGGAGTCTAAGGGTGAGTTGGAACAATTTTAAAATACGTCCAAAACTATATTAAATAAGTGTACACAACCGACTATGAGAATGGAATTCGATTTTCACTTGAGTGTTTATTCTGAGGGCCTAGTATTAGTTTATTTCACATCGACTTGGTCGTCACGGTGATTACGTTCGTCGCTGCGATTGGCCCGCACTGAAATCTTCACCAATCGCAACAACAAACACACTAGCCGACGAGAGCGAGTTGGTGTGAAATAATAATAATATTTTACCACATTCACACAAAACCATCTAGTCCCAAACTAAGCAGAGCTTGTACTATGGGTACTAGACAACTGACATAAATACATATATACTTTTTTTGTAAATACATACATATTATACATAGAAACACCCAGACCAAATCAAACATTAAATGTTCATGCACACAAATACTTGACTTGAGCGGGAATCGAACCCGCGACCTTTGGAATAGCAGTCCGTTACACAAACCACTTCGCCATTAGGTCGTCATCAAATAAACTCATACTAGGTCCTTTAGAGGCAAGAAATAAGGTGACTTACACTGAGTGGTTCATACAGGTAGTTGAAGATCCTGTACCGTATGATGGCGGAGTCACCTCGACGTAGACGCTTCGGTCCATCCGCGTGGATGAAGAACTCACGGAACACCTGGACAGAGACATATACATTTGATATTAGATTTTACGCGTGGATTTTGCTTGTGTTAATTCAGGTTTTGTCAATCATTTTCCAGGGATAAATGCCATAGAACATTATAATCTATCACTGTACCAAATTTCATCCAGACTTGTTTAGTCGTTACGGTGTTATTGACCAACAAATATCCATCCAAACCAACCAATTGTAATATTACGTAGGATAAAAAGTGACCTATGTATGTGTTACAACACATAGACTGTTTCTGTGCCAAATTTCATCCAGACTTGTTTAGTCGTTACGGTGTGATTGACTAACAAATATCCATCCAAACCAACCAATTGTAATATTACGTAGGATAAAAAGTGACCTATGTATGTGTTACAACACATAGACTGTTTCTGTGCCAAATTTCATCCAGACTTGTTTAGTCGTTACGGTGTGATTGACTAACAAATATCCATCCAAACCAACCAATTGTAATATTACGTAGGATAAAAAGTGACCTATGTATGTGTTACAACACATAGACTGTTTCTGTGCCAAATTTCATCCAGACTTGTTTAGTCGTTACGGTGTGATTGACTAACAAATATCCATCCAAACCAACCAATTGTAATATTACGTAGGATAAAAAGTGACCTATGTATGTGTTACAACACATAGACTGTTTCTGTGCCAAATTTCATCCAGACTTGTTTAGTCGTTACGGTGTGATTGACTAACAAATATCCATCCAAACCAACCAATTGTAATATTACGTAGGATAAAAAGTGACCTATGTATGTGTTACAACACATAGACTGTTTCTGTGCCAAATTTCATCCAGACTTGTTTAGTCGTTACGGTGTGATTGACTAACAAATATCCATCCAAACCAACCAATTGTAATATTACGTAGGATAAAAAGTGACCTATGTATGTGTTACAACACATAGACTGTTTCTGTGCCAAATTTCATCCAGACTTGTTTAGTCGTTACGGTGTGATTGACTAACAAATATCCATCCAAACCAACCAATTGTAATATTACGTAGGATAAAAAGTGACCTATGTATGTGTTACAACACATAGACTGTTTCTGTGCCAAATTTCATCCAGACTTGTTTAGTCGTTACGGTGTGATTGACTAACAAATATCCATCCAAACCAACCAATTGTAATATTACGTAGGATAAAAAGTGACCTATGTATGTGTTACAACACATAGACTGTTTCTGTGCCAAATTTCATCCAGACTTGTTTAGTCGTTACGGTGTGATTGACTAACAAATATCCATCCAAACCAACCAATTGTAATATTACGTAGGATAAAAAGTGACCTATGTATGTGTTACAACACATAGACTGTTTCTGTGCCAAATTTCATCCAGACTTGTTTAGTCGTTACGGTGTGATTGACTAACAAATATCCATCCAAACCAACCAATTGTAATATTACGTAGGATAAAAAGTGACCTATGTATGTGATACAACACATAGACTGTTTCTGTGCCAAATTTCATGCAGATTTGTTTAATCGTTACGGTGTGTTCAAACATAACAATTAACCCATAATAGTAGTATAACTGTTTAATAAATGTGGTCCCAAGGAGGTCACACTTTATAGGAGAGGAGAGATCATACCTACAGGTTACAGTAAAACAAAGGCAAATATTTTACACTTAAAGGAAATAAACTCACTTGCAAAACGGCAGGGGGTGACACAGCCACACCATTCTTTGACACACAAGTGACCGCGGCTTCGTACCTCGTGATAGAGTCTGGCGCGCGGGCACTGACAACACCTGTGCCATTGGCGCCAATTGGCATCACACGCCACAACCAAGCCTGAAAAACAAGGGCATCTCAATAAATACAAAAAAGGTAACAGGTTTTTTTTTATTTATGGCAAAGAGAGCAAGCAAGCCAATGGATCACTAAATGCCTCTCAGGGACGCGTGCAAATTAAGAGACTTTTTGTTGTTGTTTTTGCAATTTGTCATACTAAATATTATTATTATAATGTTACATATATTTGTAGCTTCATGGTCTACAGAGCAGACAACATGGCCTCATTTGGGGAAAGGAAAGCGAAGGGAGGAGCTGGAGCTGGGGTAAGCAATACAGCAAATCTAGTATCAAAATTATAGTAGATTCCGACTTGTGATTGGAGAAAAATTTAGAACAGAGCCATCTTTTTTTTTCAAAAGACAACTCCCGCATTAATAATATATCCTGTGTCGCCGGGGACTTTATAAACATACATGAAACGGACACAAAGAACACCCAGATTCAGAACAACAATTTGTGGATCACACAAAGTGTCGTCTCATGTGGGGTTTGAACCCACAACACTTGGCGTAGTAGAAAGCGGCGTGGCGACCGCTTAAACCAGTGCAGTCAATATCACCGAATTCAATTCAGCCATCAATTCAATGAAGATTTGTAACCCTCAGATATACTACGCAAGTATTGTTTGAATATGTTCCTGTCATAAGAAGTATGTGATTATACCTCAGAGAAGTCAGTCCTAGGCGCGGGGTCGTCGCCTCGCAGGGCGGCGGGGGGCGGCGCCCCGCAGCGCTTGGCCCCGGCGCGGGGCGCTTCGCCCCCCAGCACGCGCACGCCGGCCGAGGCCAGCCAGTACGCCGTCAGTTCCATGCTTGTGCTTGGCATGTCCGGTGTGTCGGAATCTATAGTATAATTAAAAATTGTAAAAGTTTGTCATTGTTTAGCAATATTATCGTTTGACAATTCATAAATGTAAGCAATAAATGAAATGAACAAATTAGTAAAAAAGATTTATATTAAAAAATACCTAAAGTGACAAATGAAAAAATGAAATTTGAAATTCGAATGTAACAAAGACATAACACATAAACAAAGCATCAGAGACCTGACAATTAGCTTTTTAAAATGGTTAAAAATATATAAAAAATAATATATATGGTGAAATTCTGTTTTTAAGAGGATCTGAAAGAAACTCAACGTAAAAATATTACTACCAGTGTCTTGCAGAACAGCATGCAGTTAAATAGATAGGGTTTAATTTAAGAGTAGGGTTTTTAAATTACGGTGCATGAAAGAAAATAAAAAACTTGTATTGTGTAACTTAACAATCACAATTTTGTAAGCTATATTTCTTGTTATTATTAAAACTTCACCTATTACTTAACTTCAAAACACAAAAATTCAAAAAACCCGTAGTTCTATCTACGGGTTTTTTGAATTTTTGTGTTTTGAAGTTAATGATTTTGAATTAAAGTGGTCGCACAATCTCTGAATAGTTTTTTCCAATATACGTATGGTTAGCTACCCCAATAGTAAATAGCTAGGTAAAGGATAGGGTGGCCGGCCCGAACGCATCAAGATGCGATCGGGTCCGGGTCCTCCTCAGAATAGAATGCCTAAGACCGGCCGTTAGGGTTGGTTTTAGTGGAAACACTACGTACGCTCCTGCATCGCCATGATGGCGTCTTTAAGAGCCTGCATATCCGAAGTTATTTGCCAAACCATCTACAAAAAAAAACTACCCGAGGAAGGTAATATACGAGTACTTACTAAGGAAACATTCTCCGGCCGCGTCATACTCGGTCAGGTTCCTGTGGCTTTCGATGAGGCGCCTCAGGTTGCTCATGAGTAGCTCCCTGGTGGAGGGGGGCGGCTGCAGCCACTTGGCGGCCGCGTCCAGGGCCGACAGCGCGCACAGCGCGGGCCCCGGGCTCGACACCTGCAGCGACACCCAAGACCCGGGCTGCGCCTGACGACTCAGCCAGCTCGCTTCCACCTGACAGTTCATACATAATACTGTATAGTCAGCTCAATAGATGGTAAGGTTATACCCATAAAAGCTCACATATTACGTTTTATTTTTAATCTGGTGTAAGCCTCCTTTTTAAGAAAAGGCCTTTGTCCAGCAGTGGACTATTAAAGGCTGTTGATGTGATGTGAAAGCGCAATTCCTCTATAATTACAAGGGTGCATAGGCTACGCTGCAAGATGGCTGGCAGGAGCGGGATGCGAGAAGCCCAAAATCGATCAAAGTGGCGTGCAATGGGAGAGGCCTAGTTCCAGCAGTGGACTGTCATAGGTTGATGATGATAATAATAATAATATTCTACCACATTACTATAATAAAAAAATATAATATATATAATTATCCGTGATGTGACGGATTAAGAATACGGAATGTCACCACCCCTATTCATCCCGTGGGTGTCGTAAGAACCGACTAAGGGAACAAACTGCACAGGACAACAGCACTGCAAAAAGAAGGAAAACTTGAAACAAACCCTATACCAACCCGTCTTGCCAGCGTGGTATAGTAGGCCAAAACCTCCTTTCTAAGGAGAGGCCTATGTCCAGTAGTGGACTATAATAGGCTGTTGATAATGATGAAAAAAATAACAACTCACCTTATTAGCAAAACACTCATCCATCTCAAAATGCTTGGCGGCACTGACCAGCTCCCCATTATAATAAAAATAAGCAATGAGATGAGAGTCTGGACACATCTGATGAGAAACCTTTATAGGCAACATGATCTTCAACTTCCTATCCAGCAGAGCGTCTGACGTCACGGTAGTGACGTTGTCAATGACGTCACTATGACCCACGGTTGGTATATTCGTGTACTGTTGAGGAGACTGCGTTGATACCTGCCTCAATCTAAACTCAGGCACAAGTTGATCCTGCGGGTATGTTCTAGAATTTCTAAGAATAAGGTGGTATTTCTTTGACTGGTTCGCCGTCAGTGATACTGGTGATGGGTTGACACGTCCGGGTCTGTGATACTCTTGACTAGTGGCAACGGTTGGTCGTGTACTGAAGATATGGCGTGATTGTGGCTGACGCTTTATCTCCTCAAAAGTTGGACCTATATAAGCCTCAGTTTTATAAGAAACATTTTTTGATCTAGTAAAAATATCTCGTATTGAAATTTGCGGTTCAGTTTTATGTGTTTGATTGCTCAAAAATATTTTTAACAAATTAGGATCAAAATCTATTTTTGTCTGGTCGTAAGCGGTTTTACTGTTATCTCTTGGATTGACGATGTTATCTATATCTATGGCGTTTGGATCATGTTCCGACTTAGGTAGGACTTCAAAAGATCTTTTTGATCTATAAGCTGGCGTGTCTATGTCATCAGCGTTGGCTATGTTGTCTTTTTGTGCTGTGACGTCACGGTTGTATGAGTAGTAGTTTTCGTTACATTTGTAGTTACGTGACGCAGTGTGTATTTGGTCCGAGTTAGAGGTGGGGCATTGTGTTGTCGCTCCCCAGCGGTAGATAATACCACCTCTGGTTATTACCTGTTAAATAAATTAGATTTTTTTTTAAGACAACTCCCGCATTAGGAATTTACATCCTGTGACACAGAAGACTTTATAAACATACATGAAATGGACACAAAGAACACCCAGACTCAGAACAACAATTTGTGGATCACATAAAGTGATGTCCCATGTGGGTATCGGACCCACAACACTCAGCGCAGTAGAAAGCGGCGTGGCAATCGCTTAAACCACTACGCCATCCGTGCAGTTAACCTTAAATGGACGTACTAGTCAAATGGACTGGATGGTCATTCAATCCATTTGACTACTATCAAATGAATTTGTAGAAAGAGAATAAATTTATAAACAATAAAAGGGCAATATATGGGCCCAAGCTAGACCGGAGTGATGCTACGGTCTCACAGAAGACCGTTGTTAAGCAGTCCTTTCATGGCTTTTTACAGTGAGTAAAGTTACCGAAGGTTCAAGGTCCAAGGTGCGACACTTCTTGCGGTATTTTGTTCCGACCGGGGGTATATAGACCCCTCAAGCCGTTTTTTGGTTGTTAAACTGTCTACTTCTAACCTCTAACAAGAGTCTTTGGTTTGTTTCATTACTTTCTTATTGGTCCTTTTTTTCCCACTACCTGTGGGGTGATTTTGTCGGACTCGAACCGACCAAACACAGCACGCCGTCTCGGGTACGAGTTGATTATCGAACCGTGTAATCGAAATCGAACTTTATTCCATATACGAATTAGGTCCAATTTAGATGAGGCACAAGTAGGTAAGCCTGCGAATAGCCTCACCACGAAGTGCACGGTGAGCGGCGCGGTGACGTGCGCGGTGACGTAGAGCGGCACGAGCGTGCGCGCGCTGCGCCGGTCCGCGCGCAGCGGGCCCAGCGCCGCCTGCACCGCGCCGACCACCACGCGCACCGACAGCCACGCGCTCGTCGTGCTGTCGTTCTTCAGCTGCGCCTGCGGATCATCACCACTCTATTTCAAACACCTATTTTAAAGTGAATATCGTTCTTTATCGCTTTCCTGCTATCTGTAGGAGTGATTTACTATAAATGGAAGGAAGCGTGTAACTATAACCCGGCGATCTCGTGCGCGACCGTCCCGCGGGGTGACAGACGATGGCGGGGGCGAGGTGGCGCGTCATGCCAACACACGGCTACACACGAAGAAAACGCGTTTCCCTTCCCCGTTACACCACCCGCTACCCGCTGACATCTCGAGTACCTCGTCCCCGCCACCGTCTGTCACCCCGCGGGACGGTCGCGCACGACGTCGATGGACTATAGTAGAATTCTACCGATGAACGTGGGCAATACTAGACTTGGCCATCAGATCTTACCTGGAATTTGTAGAAAGGTGCTTCAGTCTGCACGGCTGCGAACATGAGCCTCGCCACTCCACTGGCGTCGGTCTCGCCCTCGGCGCAGTCGGTGCTGAGCGCCGGTGCGACCGCCCCGTCAGCGCGGCGCCTGCACACCCGCAGCAGTTCGCCGGCGCCCGGCTTGTCGTCCCAGCGAGTCGCTTTCACCTGGACGCACGGTTTATTTATAAATTAGGATTTATACTTGTCAGCGCCTGACCTTAATCACTCAGCATTGTGAAGGTCAGGACTTTATGTGGTTTGGCTTAGTCAGGCGGTACTAAACTGTTCGTACTTTTGACAAAAATGACTTCAATTTTATTTTATAACATAATTTTTCACTGTCATCTGAGTAACGATCATTAACGCTATTATCTTTGATAAAAATTGACTATAATTGTTAATAAAATAATTGTTCCATCAAAATTTCTATTCATTGAGCTACTAAGCTCCAAAAATATCACCTTTAAGATACGATACTTTATTAATTTAAAAAATAGTGCATATTTTGCAATAAGTTTTAATCTTCGCAAAACTTCTTTACCGTAAATAGCAACGTCTATCAACTTCAACTATTCCAGTTGAAGTTGATAGACTTCAAAAAAGATCTTACTGCTCCTTTACTACTCTCTTCTTGTCACTTTCTGTCATGTGAAAAAATGGATAATTCGATTTATTTTCTACCTTCCGATGCAAAAAAACAAAACCTGTATAATTAATTTGTGTTTGTCTGTTCTCCATAACTCCTCAATGAATAAATAGGTATATTTTATTTACTGTTTTTTTGTTTAAAATAAGCTTTTATTAAACATGTCTTTAGTTAAACATCAATCTACAGTTCTCATCTCTCTTCTAATAGTTAAACGGATTTTTGGGGGTATTTTTTTATGGTATAAGGGGGCAAACGAGCAGACGGGTCACCTGATGGTAAGCAACTATGCCGCCCATGGACACCTGCAACTCAAAAGTCACAAATGCGTTGCCGTCCTTGGAGTTCCTCCCACTCGAGTCAGCGGGAGGGATTTGGGCTCCAGTAACCTAACTCACTCAGTGAAAAGCAACGAAAGAATTGCTGAACACCAGTTTTCTGTGAGGCCGTGGTATCACTCCGGTCGAGCCAGTCTCTCCCACGTATAGATTTAATACTCGTCTTTAAAACTGAACTTACCTTTAACTTATAAGGCAATCCGCGTGATATAACAGCTCGGTGCTTGGTTAGGAACTCCAGAGTTATGGGTTTATCCACCACTTGTGATACCACTGTAGTATTCTGCCATATTCTAGTGCCTTCCTCCTGAAACAACGTAAATAATAAAAATAAATAAAATAAAAATGTTTATTTGACACAAATTAATACATTCAGTGGATACATTGTTCTTAAGCACTAAGTATACGGTCACGTATAAGTACGTCTAAGTATAAGTCACTGTAGCCTGTAAGAGATTGCCTCTGAGCAATATGGCCGCCACTTGTACTAACCTAGTTCAAAATAATTATTGTGCCGTGTGGTGACGGATTAAGAATACGGAATGTCACCACCCGTGGGTGTCGTAAGAGCCGACTAAGGGAGCAAACTATGCAGGACAACAAAACTGAAAAGAGAAGGAAAACTTGACACAAACCCTGTACCAATCCGTCGAGCCAGCGTGGTATAGTAGGCCAAAACCTCCTTTCTAAGGAGATGCCTATGTCCAGCAGGGGACTATTAAAGGCTGTTGATGATTGTTTATTTATATCTGGTGTACAATAAAGCGATGTATTATTATTATTAAGTATACTTTATGTATTTTACAGTAGGTACTTACACTGTTAACCAAACTAGGCATAACGCCTGTATTGTGGCTGACAGAGTTCGATCGTGGAAATGTACAGTGTTCGATCTTGGAAATGTACAGTGTTCGATCGTAGAGATGTACAGTGTTCGATCTTGGAAATGTACAGTGTTCGATCGTAGAGATGTACAGTGTTTGAACGTGGAAATGTACAGTGTTCGATCGTAGAAATGTACAGTGTTCGATCTTGGAAATGTACAGTGTTCGATCGTAGAGATGTACAGTGTTTGATCGTGGAAATGTACAGTGTTCGATCTTGGAAATGTACAGTGTTCGATCGTAGAGATGTACAGTGTTCGATCTTGGAAATGTACAGTGTTCGATCGTAGAGATGTACAGTGTTTGAACTTGGAAATGTACAGTGTTCGATCGTAGAAATGTACAGTGTTCGATCTTGGAAATGTACAGTGTTAGATCGTAGAGATGTACAGTGTTTGATCGTGGAAATGTACAGTGTTCGATCGTAGAAATGTACAGTGTTCGATCTTGAAAATGTACAGTGTTAGATCGTAGAGATGTACAGTGTTTGATCGTGGAAATGTACAGTGTTCGATCGTAGAAATGTACAGTGTTCGATCTTGGAAATGTACAGTGTTAGATCGTAGAGATGTACAGTGTTTGATCGTGGAAATGTACAGTGTTCGATCGTAGAAATGTACAGTGTTCGATCGTAGAGATGTACAGTGTTTGATCGTGGAAATGTACAGTGTTCGATCGTAGAAATGTAGTGTTCGATCGTTTTAATTTACACAATAGCATTAGAAATCAGAATGTTACTGTACATCGGGTATAGGTGAGTGTATATTAACGTTAATTTTACAATTTATACAGAATGTTTCATAATGGTTGCAAATAAAAACAGTACACATTCATTTGAATTAAATTGTAAGTGTTTTGTATGAGTATGGGTGTGTATATAAATGTGTAGTTTGAATGAGTAAAAGTATTTATATTAATTTTTATAATAAACTCAGTCTGCTGATGACTGACTGATGTAAACAGCTAAAAGAATAATAGAGACTGTAAATAAAGAGAAATCTTTAAGGATTTTTTCTGTTTAGCAGCAAGCAAACGAACAAACGGGTCACCTAATGGTAAGTGACTACCTCCGCCCATGGACACCCGCAACTCGAGCCACAAGTGCACTGCCGACCTTCGAGCCCCCCCCCCCCCTCAGGAGGAGGATCGTTTAGGCTCCGGTAACTTCAATCACTCGGTGAAAAGCAATAAAATCGCTTAACACCGGTTTTCTGTGAGGCTATCACGTTGCTCATATCGTGGGTAACCCACGTAATGTAATACTTTCTACAATTAATAGTCTTCTATTGAAAATAAAGGTGAAGGTCACAATTATGCACTCGTGTTACGGTAATCTTATGTATGCCAAAACCCATTTTACATTTAGTTCCAGGCCCAGGCTGTGCCGCATTAATGTAAATACTGTTGAATAAATTACCTGGAAAGAGAAGTCAGCGACAAGGACCTCAGGGGGGTTCTGTGAGTGCAACCCTACTCGTTTAGCAGCCACGGCGTGTCTGTGGCACGCCTTCGGAGCCCTCAGCTGTACTGCTGTTCTAACGCCGGCACCACCTCCTCCTGAGCCGCGTAGGCGGATGACCAGCATGCCCTCCACTGCTTCAGACCAGGGATACCTGTTGAATAAATTTGCTTGTAAAAAAATGACTAGTAATTACAGAATTTACTTTGACTGCACGGATAGTGTAGTGGTTTAAGCGGTCATCTAGCCGCTTCCTACTAATACTTGTGTGATCTACAAATTATTATTCTGAGTCTAAGTGTTCTTTGTGTCCATTTCATGTATGTTTGTAAAGTCCCCCGTGACACAGGGTATATTCCTGCTGCGGCAGTTGTCTTTTTAACACGCTTCCATTAGCTTGACCTGTATGTATGTATGTATCTATGTAACGGAATCTTTCAACGCAATTTTCACCCATTTCAAAACAATAATATAATAATTTTGGCGCATTTTCTTGATCAGGATCTTCAGGAATAACGGTTTTTTCGATACCCAAAAATGCGAGTCTTTTGTTAAAAAAGAAAAAGTATTAGAGGTTGTTAGAAAAACTTGATTGGGTGAGTCACCTGATGGTAAGTGGCTATCACCTCCCATGGACTCCTGCAACTCAAGAGTCACAAGTGCGTTGTCGCTCTTTCAGTCCCTCATACCAATATCAGGGAGAGCTGGAGGGTTTGAGCTCTTAATTTCTTTTTAAGCAGTTCATCACTCAGAAGAAATTATGATGTTGATGGGGTGTGATCGAATCCGGTCTGACTGGTGAAAATACGGATCGCAATCCCTAGTTTCTGATATCTTACCTGACGCACACAGTCCAAACAAGCCTCTCACTGGTTTTCAGTACTTTTGGCGCATGACGCACGCTGAGTTGGAATGGTGGAAGCTCGTAGTGGCCTACCCAGAAGACCGCAGACCCCTGAAATAAGTAGACCAAGACTTAGACTTATAGTTTAGATGATAACATAATTTGATCTTTAAATATCTACTTTAACACCTGTGAGAAATCTTATTACTTTTTTCCCACTAATTTCGGACACGATTAACCACTAATTTACAAGTAAAGAAAGCTAGAACGTCAGTGCCATCTAAAGAAGACACACCGAACTACAGAGTAACTACTAATACTCACATCAACAGCCTTTAACAGTCCACTGCTGGACATAAGCCTCTCCTTAGAAAGGAGGTTTGGGCCTATTATAATACGCTGGCCAGACGGGTTGGTATAGGGTTTGTGTCAAGTTTTCCTTCTCTCTACAGTGCTGTTGTTCTGCGTAGTTTTTTCTCTTAGTCGGCTTTTACGACACCCACGGTGTGAATAGGGGTGGTGACACTCTGTATTCTTAATCCGTCACCACACGGAATACTACTAATACTGCATCGCGCAATTAAAATCCTTTTTTTTCTTTAGTATCTTTTCACGAGCTTTGGTGTTACAAATAATTGGAACAGTTTTATTATAGCTTAGTTAGATTGGCTTTATTATTTCTATCAGTGTTTTAATAATTACTAGCGGTACCCCGCCATGTTTTGCTATGGCACATTATGATTGCATTCATAAGAAATGAGGAACAATACAAACCAACTTTACATTTTATATGTATAGATAATCAAACGTCGATCTCTTGCCCTATTAGCTGGAAACGTTTTAAAATATAAATCACAATACCTGAGAACCATCTTCCAATTTGGCTCTGAGCGTCCACTTGCCAGAGGGCGCTAATGTATCCAGCTGGTATTGAAGCTGCGCTAAGCCAAGCCGAGTACGTACGCGGAGCCACTGTGCTACACGTGTTCCCTGCCATGCGCCTTGTGGTCCTTCGAGCCATACCTCTTCTATCTGAAATAACGAAATACTGTTCAAAGAGGCTGTCACAGTGGAGCAGGTTCCTATCTATACTAATATTATAAAGCTGAAGAGTTTGTTTGTTTGTTTGTTTGAACGCGCTAATCTCAGGAACTACTGGTCCGATTTTAAAAAATATTTCAGTGTTAGATAGCCCATTTATCGAGGAAGGCTATAGGCTATATATCATCACGCTAAGACCAATAGGAGCGGAGCACCAATGAAGAATGTTTCAAAAATGGAGAAAATTTATTACTATTGAGAGACGCAGACGAAGTTGCGCGGGTCAGCTAGTAGTTAATATAAATTGTCCAACAGTCCAGTAATACCTGATAATCTCAGTTTTAGTAGACTAAGACTTTGATTTATCAGGTATCGTTATGTGACCCGGGTTCAATGATCTCGAGTGTATACATATACATATGACTGCCTCAGTGGTGCAGTGGTAGCGTATGCGACTGCTGTGCTAAGCTTTCGGGTTAGATTCCTTGGTCGGACCAAATATTTGTAGGGTCTGCCAACATTTGTTTTGGAGTTTAGGCGTTTTCTACGTACGTATTTACAAATAGTATATAACTATTCTATTATTCAATCTAGCCTTCATAGTACAAACTCTGCTTAGTTTGAAGCTAGATGGCGTTGTCCGTGAGATGTAAGAAAATATTTATTTATTTGTTATTATATGTATCAGTCCTCTTATATTCTTCACTAGCTGAGACCCGCGATGTTACCCGCGTTTGTTGTTATAACCGCGGGCAACGCCGTGGGACGAAGCTAGTCTAAAAAAAGTAGCCTCAGTTACTCCTTATGTCATCAGCTATCTGCCAGTGAAAGTCGAAATCAGTTTAGCCGTTCCAGAGATTACCCGCAACAAACAGACAGACAGACAGACAAAAATTGTAAAAAATGATATTTTGGCATATATACCGTGTAAACATACATAATAATATGCATTTAGTAAAAAGCGGTTATTTTAATATTACAAACAGACACTCCAATTTTATTTCTTTGTATAGATAACTTTACGAATACCGGGACGCAAGTAGACAGATACATAAATCTTACTGAGTAAAGTACATTAATTCAGTACTAAATTAATCTATACTAATATCATAAATCTCAGAAACTACTGGTTCGAGTAAAAGCTATACATGCTTATAAATGCGAGAGTGTGTCTGTCTGTCTGTCTGTTATCTCTTCACGCTTAAACCGCTGAACCAATTTAGATGAATTTTGGTATAGAGATATTTTGAATCCCGGGAAGGTTATAGGATAGTTTTTATTCCATAAATCATACTTTAAGGGGTGAAAAGGGGTGAAAGTTTTTATGGGGAATCAATAAGCGCTGAACAAATTTAAATGAAATTTTATATGGAGATAGTTTGATGATAAAGAACAGAGTGTACTTTTTACCGCGATAAGCAACATACACACGGGTGTATACATATATATCTTATATATATAACATTCTCGTGTCACAATGTTAGTTACCATACTCCTCCGAAACGGCTGGACCTATTTTTATGAAATTTTGTGTGCACATCGGGTAGGTCTGAGAATCGGCCAACATCTATTTTTCATACCCCTAAATGGACAAGGGTGACCCCCACCTAATTTTTTTTTCAATATTTCATAGAAATAATGTAAATGGCAAAACAACATTTGCCGGGTCAGCTAGTAATATATAACACTAGCTGACCCGCGCAACTTCGTCTGCGTCTCTCGATAGTAATAAATTTTCTCCGTTTTTGAAACATTCTTCATAGGTGCTCCGCTCCTATTGGTCTTAGCGTGATGATATATAGCCAATAGCCTTCCTCGATAAATGGGCTATCTAACACTGAAATAACGTTTAAGTCGTACCAGTAGTTCCTGAGATTAGTGCGTTCAAACAAACAAACAAACTCTTCAGCTTTATAATATTAGTATAGATATAACAAATAACAGCTCGCTACGACCAATAGGAGAAATAAAAACGGGAATTTATTAATTTTGAGAGACGTCGTCGAAGTCGTGCTAGTTAATTTATAAATTAATCAAATAATTGACATATGGGTTAGTAGGTTATCGCAAACATATAAATTAAATCATTCAGCCACTTGTCGTGATGTGTTAAATTAAAATTAAATTAATCAGTTGGTCTTCTAACTCCAATAAAGACCAATTAATCTAATTTAATTAATTAAAGGTTGTTTTAGAAACAAAGCTTGTTTATTTAATTGTTTTGTTTTTTATAAATACTAACAAATATCTCTCAGAAACTGGAGAATCCAGACATATTATGTTCATCGACGATGTAAACCTTTATAAAGACGTTTCTTCCGTTCAGTTGTAAGATGCTACGTCACCGTAACATACAATTTCAGGCCACATATAAATGTCCGTGTGGTGACGGATTAAGAATACAGTGTCACTATCCCTAATCATCCCGTGGGTGTCGTAAGAGCCGTCTAAGGGAGTAAACTAAGCAGGACAACAGCACTGCAAAGAGAAGGAAAACTTGAAACAAACCCTATACTAACCCGTCTGGCCAGCGTGGTATACTCGTAGTAGGCCAAAACCTCCTTTCTAAGGAGAGGCCTATGTCCAGCAGTGGACTAGTAAGGGATGATGATGATATAAATATAAAATGCAATGGGCTATGTTCTTTTATAATAAACTAGCTTCGCTCGCGTCATTATTTATTACTAGTTTTTAAAAAGTAGTCGCTGATAATGCAGCTTTACACTGGTGATTTTTTTTAAAAATCGGTTTGTGGCTTAGGCGTGAAGGCGTAAGAAACAAACAAACTCACTTTAATAAGTATGGATTTCGTGTTTCTAGAAAATAACGAACATCCCTTATTTTTTTAATTTCCAACAATCCTTTCTTAAGGGGCAGGCTATGTACAGCCAGTGCTGGTCGAAACGTCAGGCAATTAAAAGGTGTATAATTAATAATTTCCCGTAAATAAACATTATTATATCCCATGGAACGAAGAAGTTATAAAGTCGGTACACTTAGAATAAACAAATTATTTAAAAAACCCGACTGTGTGAAAATATATAGGCCTGTACACGATTACAAACAGGTCATTTTAATATTTCACAGTTAAGGCGAATTTAATGACACTTCACAAGCCAAAATCTATTAAGCCGTTTAGGGATTCCCAAACTATTTGGGCCAAAGAGACTCCTTTTCTAAAATAAACAGACCTCCATATAAATTACCGCACGCTTATCGGCCGCGTATATATCGGTTATTGGGGTAAATAGGACCCTATGTGTTTCCTCAAGAATCAAACTATGTCCATACTAAATTTTACCTAAATCGGTTTAGCAGTTATTGATGCCCGATACAAACTTTCACCCCTCTTTTTAGCCCCTTGAAGGGGTTTCTAGGATGTCCTTTCCCGGGACAGGTAACAGACAGATAGACAGACAGACACTTTCGCATTTATAACATTAGTATGGATGAGACGGAACTATTTCTTACAAAAGTTCAATAGTACTTATTGACAACTCAAACCAATTAAAAATAGGTTTAAATATCAGTTACGTGGTGACGAATTAGAATACAGAGTGTCACCACCCCTATTCATCCCGTGGGTGTCGTAGGAGCCGACTTAGGGAGAAAGCTACGCAGAACAACAACACTGCAGAGAGAAGGAAAACTTGAAACAAACCCTATACCAACCCGTTTGGCCAGCGTGGTATAGTAGGCCAAAACCTACTTTCTAAGGAGAGGACTATGTCCAGCAGTGGACTATTAAAGGCTGTTGATGATCAGTTACTGAGCAAAACAATAAAGCTTATAATACAATATGCGAATATTACCGTTACGCTGTTAACCTAGTGACATTGTCTCGAGCTTAAAGACGATAAACTTAAGCAAATATTGATAAAGCATGAAAGTTTAAACAGTCCAAAATGTTTTATATCTCCAATTTGTGAGGTGAAAGCTTTTCATCCATATATGTATTTAAATAAGAACTTGTATTTTCTGCGCTTTCGATGTTACCGAAATATAACAAATTTCTTTTTGCTTTCTCGTGTCGTTTGGATGTTCTTATGTTTATGTATTTTCTTTATGTGCGCACCTGCATCTCTAGTCACAGGTGGGTTGCCAACCGTTGAGTTCCCCCCATAATTAAGGGTATGGGCGGGGTTTCGGGCGGTCCGTTGCGCTCCGGTAGATGGTAACACTGCTTTTCTGTGAAAGTGTATCTGTCTGTCTGTTACCTCTTCACACTTAAACCGCAGAACTGATTTAGATGAAATTTGGTATAGAGATAATTTGAGTCCCGAGAAAAGACATAGGATAGTCTTTATGCAAAATATAATCTTTTAAGGGGCCTATGTCCAGCAGTGGACTATTAAAGGCTGTTGATGTGATGTGATGTGAAGGGGGTTAAAAGAGGGGTGGAAGTTTTTATGGGGAATCAATAACCGCTGAACCGACTTAGACAAAATTTGGTATGGAGATACTTTGATTCTTGAGGAAGGCCATAGACATAGGATACTTTTTACCGCGATAACCGACCTACACGCGGGAGGAGCCGCAAGCAAAAGATAGTGAAATTATAAGTCCATGCTATTTTTGAATTCTGAAACTGTAAATACTTGTTACGGTCAATAAGTGACTGTACCAGGTAACTGTGATATTTGCAGTCACGATGGTGAGATTTCATCTGTGTTATTCTACCAACCGGTTCATCGATAATCGGTAACTGTAAACGATATATCGATCGTTCAGATAATCGATTGTGGCGCGTTACGCTTTGTTGGTTTTGTGTTTGGTATTGTAGCGTTCGATATTTTGTTTAGTTTATAATATATGGTAAGAGGACAATATATATCGAAATACAGTTTAGTTTATAATAATAATATTGTATCACATTCACACAACGCCATCTAGTCCCAAACTAAGCAGAGCTTGTACTATAGGTACTAGACAACTGATATACTTTTTTTTTGTAAATACATACTTATTATACATAGAAACACCCAGACCAA